CTTCCCCTCTCCCGTGATACGTCAAGTCAAGGAGAGCGCTACCCTCACAAACCAGACGGCCGCGCACTGGCGACGGGGGTGGGGGGAATTTTGGGAGTTGAAATCCACACATCTTAAAGCTGCCAAGGTTGGGAAACACTGGATTACAGAAAGCCAGTGTGGTATCATGGTTACAGTGCTGAACTAGGAGTTGGGAGGCCAGATTCAGGTCTGCTCTTAACACAGAATCCCTGAGTGACTTTGGGCAGTCCCTACCTCGCAAGGCTGTTGTAAGGAAAAACAGGAGCCAGCATTATGCGCTTTGTCCTGAATTAAAAACAGGACAAAGACTGGGCGTCTTGCTCGCGAGGACAAGAAACGCCACTCGCCTGCACAATCTGAGCCAGGGAAAAGGAGAGGAGAATCTCAAGTTTGCCTTCACAGCTGTTTCTGCCCCCTGGGACGGCGGGGGGAGACTTGGGTGCGGGGGGTCCCCTTCTCGTTCTTGCAGATTTGCAGACGGGGGCTGGGGAGGGGGTCTTAGAGCGGGCCGAAGAGGTAAGGGGATAGCTGGCGCAGCCTTGATCGCCAAGGGACGGAGCGATTTGGAAATTACACGGGAGGATCTCTCCCCCCAGATCAGCCCAGAAGCATCCAGTTCCCGTCATGGAAGGAACTGGAGAAGGAAGTTTTAGAAGCCCCAGTTTTTGGAGCGTCTGGGTTAGTCCGACGGGGGGATCTGAAATGTGCAAGGCGGGCTTTTCATGCCTTGGTGGCCATTCTGGGGTGCGCTCCCCCTTCTTCCAATCAAATCAAATCACTTTATTGCAGCCAGAAGGCCGCAAATCAGCGAGATAAAACCTGAAGAGTAAGTGAATCTCAATATACATACATATATATATATCAGTTGGCAAGTGGTATGTATGAATATAAGATACGTAGCAAGGAACAAGAATGGAATATAGAATATAAAAGTACATGGAGGAAAGGACAATAATAATAGAATAAAAGAGAATAAAAAATAAGTCAGTAGAGGAATCTGACGCTTCAGCTACAAGGAGGACGAATGTGCCAATGTTTCTCAACCTTGGCAACTTTAAGATGTGTGGACTTCAACACCCAGAATGCTGGCTGGGGAATTCTGGGAGTTGAAGTCCACACGTCTTAAAGTTGCCAAGGTTGAGAAATGCTGTGCTAGATGACTGTATGGGCAGAGGCGTTGGGCCACTGGACCATTTTTATAGCGTCCAAACCAAATACTCTGGATTCTTTTTGTATTGTGTAAATCTCCCCCCCACTTTCTTAGATGCCCCCCACCCAGCCTGTCCTCCTTTTCCTTCCAGGCTGTCCTTCTGGGACTTTCAAAGCCAACCAAGGGGACGAGAGCTGCGTCCACTGTCCCATCAACAGCCGGACCACGTCGGAAGGAGCCACCAACTGCGTCTGCCGGAACAGCTATTACCGTGCGGACTCGGACCCGCTGGATATGCCGTGCACCAGTACGTGCCTCCTACAAGGTGGAGAGGAGGGGGTGAAGGGAAAGTTGCTCCTCTTCCTGGTTCTCCTGAGCCTCAGCCAGCCAAATTTCCCCCTATCCCGTCTTTGCTACGTGTAATGGTATGTGGGAAAGACCTTGGGGGACGAGGCGAAGAGATGCTGCCTGGGGAATGGTCAGATAAGAGGGAGCCCAGGCCTCCGCTACATAAGGGATGGGGCAAGAAGCTCAGAAGGGACCCTCCCTAGTTTCTCGGGCTGTAAAAGGGACGGCAGGAGAATTGTATTTTCAGACTTGCGAGATTCTGTTAATGTAGCTTTACAATAAAGCAGAATTAGTTCATCTGGTCGTGTTTCCTGTCTGACCTGCCTAGTAAGGCTGACACTACGTGACAATTGAACCGGGAGACTTTTCCCATCAAAGCTCTAGGCTCTGCTCTGGACTGGGGACCCCATCCTTCCCGATAGCCCCATCACACACTCCTTCTGCACTGCGTGTTCAAGCGACGAGCAATTGGCTGACCCGGTTGTGGGAACAGCCCAGTAGAGATCCCAAAGGGGCCAGTCTCAGCATTTGGGGCATACCTGGGCACGGACTGATTGATTCATTTTTAGGATTGATCAAGATTCTAGACGGGGTACAAAATACAAAATCCAAGAATCCAAGCAAGGACGCAATTGAGACTCAGGGTGGCGGAGTGGGGAAGGCATTGGACTAGGAGCAGGGGGGCCCAGGTTCTAGTCCCCCCGCCCCAGCCAAGGAAACATCCCTGACCTACCTCACAGGATTGCTGTGGTGGGGAAAAATAGGAGGGGGGCACTCTGGACGCCACCTTGAGCTCCGGTTACAAAGCGGGGGATAGAACGCTAATAAATAAAGGTAGAAAACAGATTATAATCTCATAAAGATTTGGTCTCCAAACACTTTCCAGAACAAGTATTCTCTGGAGGGCCGTAGCCGTGGGGGAGATACCGGCCTTGGGGGTGAGCTGTTTCAGAGGAGGGCATTTGCCACCTCTGTGCCCCCCGATCACACGTCTGGAGGAAGGTCCTTCAGCATTCACAGAATTCATGGAGCCATTGAGTTGGAGGGGAACCCCGAGGTCATCTAGTCCAACCCCCATTTGGGGATTGTTGCCCTGGGACCTGCAAACCATAACGTAAGGTAACCCAAAGGTACATTTCAGCACGTCCACCTTTCTCTTTTCTTTTTATTTTCTGGCAGCCATCCCCTCAGCCCCCCAGGCGGTCATTTCCAGCGTGAACGAAACCTCTCTGATGCTGGAATGGAGCCCGCCCCGGGATTCTGGGGGCCGTGAGGACTTGGTCTACAACATCATCTGCAAGAGCTGCGGGTCCGGGCGCAGGGCCTGCACCCGCTGCGGGGACAACGTCCAGTTCACACCACGCCAGCTGGGTCTGACCGAGCCCCATGTTTACATCAGCGACCTCTTAGCTCACACTCAGTACACCTTTGAGATCCAGGCGGTGAACGGCGTCACCGATCAGAGCCCCTTCTCCCCCCACTTCGCCTCCGTCAACATCACCACCAACCAAGCAGGTAAGAATTTGCACTCTCTTCGCGGCAGTTCCCAAAAGTTTCCTTCCTTCCTTCCTTCCTGGGCGAAAGGGGCTTCTGTTTTTCTTCCTCGTTCTTGAGGCTTCATCCATTGGAACTTCAGCATTTGAACCCAAACACACTTTCTATCCCCTCAGTGATGGCTTGGCCATGGGCAACTGCAAGGGGAGTCAAAAAAGTCAAGAGGGCCGCCGTGACAGGGCAGCTGAGACCCGCCCCTTTGTACTGCATCACAATTTGCGTGGAAGAGGGTGGGGCTTCGGTCATGTGGTTCTGGCCGCCACCTTGATTTTATCCACACACAAACGCGTGCTGGTGCTCCGGACTCAGCGATGCTCCGAAGATGCTCTGACTCACTAGCAGGGAAATGTCACTGGGGTGTTTTTGAGGCCTCTTGCTTGCAGCCAAGGGACGGGGGACCTGATCCCCCATGCCCTCCCTGTCTGCCCCGGATCCACGCAGCAGCCTTTGCAAAAGAATCTGCAATTTTAGAAGGATGCAAAGCTGCCCGCGTCATGCGCCCTTAAAGGGTTCCTCTAACCTTTTACCATCCCATGCGTTATCCTGCATCGTCATGCATCCAAGAAGAAAATCTCCATCCACCCATTAAACCGGGGTGTGCAAGGGATCCCAGATCAAACCCTTCCAGTTTGCTGGCGGGGGGGGGAGCGGGCTGCATTGCCTGGGGGGGCCGCGCTTGCTGCAGTCTCGCCTGTTGCAATTAAGCCTCACAGTTGTGAGTTTATTGCAGCAGCTGTGAACATTGTCACCTTTACAGCGAGAAGGAGGGGAAGTGTTTGCTGGTTTTTCGGGGGGGGGAGGCAGAACAGCGAAAAATCCCTTGTTGCGCTTTCACTTTTCCCACGTGCTCCGGGCTGCCCCAGCCTTATTATCCTTTGAGCGGGAGCTCCTATCCTGGTGTGATGTATCTATTCATTAGGGCTAAACAGTAACTGTCTGCTTGCTAATTCTCCCATAATTAGAGAGGCAGGGTTTTTTCGGCTGTTCCTGCACAGCTTGGCAGCCTTGATGCTTCTCATTAGGGGCTGGAAACAGAAGCTGCGGAGACCGAACAGAAAGCAAAGGAAAAAAGAGAGAGGAAAAAAAAAGATTTGGGCCTGGAAAAACCAGGAACCGGCAGCGAGGAAGGAGGAACATTGATGCTCCTGGGAAGAAGGGCTCGGGGAGATCGTCCCCTTCCCACCAGCCCTGCAGGGTCTTTGGGGCAGGGGTGCCCCGGCCCCGCGAAGGGTCTTTGCATCGTCCCCCTGGCAGCTGAAGAGGTTTCGGCCCATGTCTGGAGACCAGAAAGCAGGTCTCTCTTTTTTTTTACCCCCCCAAAGTTGGTTTGGAAATCCCAAGGATTTCCAAATCATTTGTCACAAAGGATTGTCAACGCAAAGCACCCCAATTTCTGGTCACGTACATCGGGGCAGGCTAGTTTTTCCTCTTGGCCTGCGTCAAGGCCACGCCGGCAGTACTCCAGTCATCCCAGTGGCTGGCACATGCAAATGCCCAGTTGCCCAGTGCATAGAGTCGCTGTGAGTCAGGCACCGTATAAATGTAGTAAATTATGGTTGGTCACACAGTCAGCCAGATGTTTAGAGTGGATCTGGCATTTTTATCCACCTATCAAGCCCTTCCCAAGGACCTGGGATGGACAGATGTTGTTTGATGGTGTTCAAGATATCATGGCAGGAAGTTCCAAGTAAAGCTCCTTTGGCAATGGACCGATGGTGATTTTGTCAATGCCGAGGGTCTTCAAGGGGTGCTCCAGATGTTTTGGGATGGCACCCAAGGTACCTATTACTACTGGTATTATCTTTGCTTTCTTTTGCCACAGTCGTTCTACTTCTATTTGCAGGTCTTTATACTTTGTGATTTTCTCCAGTTCTTTCTCTCCTCTTCTGCTGCCTCCAAGTCTTGCAGTGTCCACTATCCAGACTTTCTTATCCACCATGGTTAAGTCTGGGGTTTGTCTGCTGGAATCCTAAAGTCACAGAGCATTTTGGCTTCTCAGTTTTCTATGACTTCGTCTGTTTGGCGGTCGCGCCAGTTCTGGCTTGCAGGAAGTGGCATTTCTTGCAGAGATTCCAATGCACCCTTGTTGCGACTTTGTCATGCCGCTGTTTGGAGTCAGTCTGTGCGATCTTCTTGCCGCAGCTGACTGGGTGGTCCACTTTTCTTCAGCTTCTTCGCAGAGGCAGCATTTGCTGTCTGTTGCTGTCTTCTCAATTCTGGCTTTTTATGCATTTGTTCTTAAAGCTTGGTCTTGTTACTACTACTACTACTACTACTACTACTACTACTACTAC